TTGCCGAACAAACGTTGCGTTTGCGATGTTGACCCTTTCAATCGCAATGCTCATTATCTTCGTGTTAAGATTTATTTACACTATGCGATCCTAAGACGCTTCTCACAATACATGCAATGTACAATTGGCTCCTATAATATTGAATCTATAATCGGTACTTGTTAAATTAATAATTAAATTTTAGTTCTGCAAAATTGCTTTAAGATAGTAATCTGGCATATCTTATGATAAAGTTAATTATTTAAATAAAATTTACGACATTTATTTTATGATGCAAATCAAATTATTGTTATTGCGCATTATGAAATTTCTTAATAAAGACTGCAAAGTGCAAATAAATCTTAATTTATGTTAAGTTACAGGACTGATCTGTTAAATCATTGTAAAAATTATGTGTTAGAAACTATAATCGTAGAGAAATTATGATTGTCGCTTAGCAATATTTATCAGTTCTGTATTGAATCGATATATTAAATTGGTGGTAATTATAGAAAGAATGCGGATATTATGTTATACAGGATGTCCCGAAAGTTTTTCCCAATTATTTTTGTGTAAATAGAACGAACTAAACTGAATCGAAAAGTCCATTTTGCAATTTTCGCAATAGTTAATAAGATATTAATTACTAAAAATTGCCAAATATTGGTCTTGAATAATTTTTTACTCAAATACCATCAACTTTACAGAAAAACTGCAAGAGACAAAAATTATTTATTTTCTTCTCACAGAACTCTAAAAATTTTTATCAACTTTTTAGTACTGCATTTTCTTATTTTTACCAACATGAAAAAATACGATATTAAAAAATTCCGAAAAAATTCTGACAAAATTCTCAGAACTTTATGAAAAGAAAATAAATGATTTTTGTCTCTTGCAGCTTTTTTATAAATTTGATAGTAAAAAATTATTCAAGACTAATATTTGGCAATTTTTAGTAATTAATATCTTATTAATTATTGTAAAAATTGCAAAATAGTAGAAGACTTTCAGTTTAGTCCGCTCTATCTACACAAAAGCGATTGGCAAAAACTTTTGGGACGCCCTGTATATATATGAACAGCGAATGTTTTTCTCTATAAGAAAAAACAGAAACAAAAATGGAGAGATAAGTTGCGGTTTATTTAATTGGATTTCCTCTGTATTTGAACATAAATTAAAAGAAAACATCTGTAAATTGACGGGGAGCATTGAATCATCAGAATTATAATATACACAAATAAATGGATTGAGAAGTATGTACGAATAAAATATAATAAAGGAAATATTAGTATTAAATAAAGACTTCCGTTTTTAACTAAAGATGATGACAAATTGATGTTTAAAAAAGAAACAATTTAGCAAATAAATCGACATTATTTGTTATTTTTGATATCAAAATGTTGATAAATAATCTGTAGATAATTATTTAATAGCAGCTTAAAATGTTTTGATTTGAATAGATAAAAATTGAAAGAAGCCCGAAAAACAACTTTCAGATAGGCTATTTATTCATTAAAATATTTGAGTCCTTCAGAATAAATAATTTATAATCGACACATGATTATATTGGTTATTGAGTGATCTAAGGTCGTTGAAGATCGTTGAATGTCACTAATTGAAATTTCTTGATCAATAAAGTTTAGAGACGCATATTCAACAAAATAAATAAGCGGCGATATATTTAAATCTCAATTTTTGTTAAATTTTAGTATTTTTTTTATTCGCAGTAAGAAAGAGAAAGAGAAAAAGAAGGAAAGAGAGAAAGGGAATCAGAAGAAGGAAGAAAAAGATGTAAATACAGAATTAATTATTTATCAGCACAGATTATTTGAAAAAGAGCTGAACAGTGTATAAGTATTTCTCACTTTTTTGTTATAAATAATTATATTAGAATTTTCCACGATACTGCACTTGCAGTATGATGCATTGCGTTGATGCTTTAGATGGCAATTTCCAAATTGCATCATTAGCGTCCTACATTTAATTCGGGAGTGAAAGCTGACCGACTTATACGCATTGAAGAATTCCCAATGATGCTGGATCTCATAAGAATTTATATAACAAACCGCTCGAGTTATCGCATAGGTGATACAATACATCCGACAAAGAAGTTAATTTGAGTATTTTGTAATATTATGTCGCAATATTAATATTATATCCATTATAATATAAATGAAATATACGAATATTGATCGGTCGATATTAATTTGTTTCATATATTGATTACTTACATGTTATACGTAATAATTTAGTCTAAAATTAATATAAATGTCTTAGCGCCGAGTACTACCGTGTCTCCAGATATTGACTATAATAGATATGTATATGCGGTAAAATTCTGTAGACAAATCGACATTGAATCGTTCGTTATGTACTGGTTCTCGCGAAATGAGTAGAAATTATTTTTTTCATGCATCAAGTAAATTTTATTGCGTAGACAAAATCTAAAAATTTTTTTTTTATGATGATGATATAATGTATAATCTTAATATATTTTAATGATTATTTGCATTGATGATTTGCACATTTGAATTGATTTTTATCTAGGTCTTATTAAAAAAATTTATTATAAATCATAAAATACTATTAGAAGACAATAATAACATCGATGTCAATTATAACATTACAATTGTCTCCGAACTTACTTGATTTTATTTTAGTATTATTTTATATCATGTTATTTGTACTTTTCTTTATAGAAAGCCATTAATAAAATAATACAAAATAGATTAAGAAAAAAATTATACAAAAGAAGTGTTTTTATAAAACACAGACATTTAAAGAGATTATAAAGGACTAATTATCCATTTGTGTAGCTGCAAGAAAGAGTATGACTTATGTAGTTATGTTATGTACCTTTAGCAAAATGCGATACAATTATCTTCCTCTACTGTTACAATCGTTCCAGGGGTTGGCACGGTTGTAACAAAATTCCTCATAGTCTTTAAATCCTCATTTTTACACAATCATGTTTGAAACTATTCCTAAAGCTGAAAGTTATATAAAAAATAGTTTTCAGTTTGTTAAAGATCTAAAAGAGATGAGAATTGGTAATAATTACAAATTAATTTCATTGGATGTAGTTTCTTTACTAACATTCCATTAAACATGATTATCGATTATATGAATGACAATTGGATTTTCATCTAAAAAAAATGTGACTCAAGATAGAATTCCTGATGGCAATTCGGTTTATTCTAGATTCAATATATTTTACATTTAACGGTCTCTGTTTGTCTCTTGCCTTTTTGGCTAATAAGACAAGAGACAAACAGCAAGAAACAGGAAACAAAAAAGCCCATTGTAGAATTAGCTTTAATTGCTTCTCAGTAATAGTCAGTAATAGTCCTTATCATTAACATATCTTTCAAAAAATTCATTCTGGAATATTTAATCTGTACAGATTATCTCTCAAGTTTTAATATAGTGATTGGTATACTACCTCTTATATTTTACACGATTTTATGATAAAAATTTGACGAAGTATTTCTTCTTAAGAAATGATAATTGCGATCACATTGATGAGTGTTTTATTAAGATGATGTTTTTGCTTGGTTTTTACAGAATTTAAAAGTACATTTAAAAAATTTTTATTTTATTCAGATTTTAATTTTATTTTTTATTTTTATTGGTTAATTAATATGTTTTTTTAATTAGAATATCATGAAATTCCGAACAATTGGTCAGTAAATCGCTTGCAAGTAATTCATGGTCTCCGTGAGACATTCATCAATATCGCTATACAAATTGGAAAACTTTCATCACGATTTTTCTATGACGATGAAAATGAATTTTAAGATTATGAATTTTGTATTGTCTGAAAATGGCTCAATCCAAGAGCCGGAACATGTAATGTAATGTAAAATGTTTTACAATGTATTATTTATAGAATTTTTGTTATACATTTAATATATTATATTATAGTTCTTACATTTATACTTAATTACGTTGACTCTTATGTGTCTTATACATCTTCGTATTATCTTTTAAAAAACTAAAGCGTTCCGAGTTACGCATGAAGCGCATGATGCATCATTTGTCCTTATTATTCAAATAATAAAGAAGGATAAAACGATACATTATGCGCTTCATGCGTAATTCGGAACGTATCCTTAGAGTCCTGTATTATTTGTTATTTGATTTATATTTTATAAATATATATTTCTATAGATATGTTGTAATAAAGTGTAAATATAATTAAAACTTAATTATATAACAATAATACCACTTCTCAAATTAATATACAGATATACTGATATATAAAATGTACAAATTGTATATATTTGTATACATATACATACATATATGTATATATATAATATGTATAACGTGTATAACTTGGCAAATATATTACGAAACATTATTTGGTAACATTTTGAGATTAGAAATTTTAACATCAAGATACTTTTTGTTTTAATCCATATTATTTTTAATTATCGCATAAAGTAAGTAAATTTATGTACATACACACACATATACATATATATTCTACACAAACTAAACGTTTCGATTTTGTTCTGTTTCTAATATAGTTTTTTTATACATTTATTAATACAAAATTAGATTGCTAAAATTACAAAAGTAATTTTTTAATCTTATATTTTATCTTAAATAAACAATTTGTTAAAATGATAATTTTTGTTAAAAAATTTGTCATATTTATAGCCTAAAGAATAAATAAGAATGTCTTAAATAAAAATTACATATTGGTTTTTATTTAAATGTTTTAAATAATTTTGTATTCTAATAATTTTTTGAAATTCTAACAATATAATATTCTTTGGATATCATCAAAAATTTCAGAATATACATATAAGTTTTTATTCGCATACAATGTTGGCAATATACTCGGTACTAATTTTCAATGTAGGTCAATGCTTGTTCTATGAGAAATACTGGGTACCTATAGTGTCGACATACATTAAAAAAAATGTTTGCGCAAACATGCATTGAGCATGCATATATTTAACGTCGTGCGTTTTGACACCTGCACCGTTAACGCTACTATCACTTTTTTGCAGGCAGGATAGCAGCAATCTGTTTAGGTCTTCTTGCACTTGTGATCGGTATAGTGCTCAGTAGCATACCGTGGGTCGATTACATCATCTTGAAAGTAAGTATGAAACTTTTAGTTAGTACATATATATGTATATATATATATATATATATGTACTAATATAT